CTCTCTCAGACCTCTTGCCAGTAAGAGTTCAAACTGAGCTAATTGGACCAATCACATTATAACACAACTTTAACACACTTTCATTGAACTGTGAGATCATCCACATCAGTATAAAAGTAGATGTCTGAGAGAAATTCAAAGAACTTTGAAATGGTTGTGAGAATAAAAGGGGATAAGTGTGGAAATCTGTTTCATTTTTTTCAGAAGAGGGTCTATTTTATATACCGTATCATATTCTAGAAAACTAAATATCATGTTTGCAGAAGGATAAAAAAAGGAATTAACTATTTCTAAATAATGTGGGCAAATATACATGGGTTATTTTATTACAACATTGATTATGAAAAATGATTGTGAGATACACACACACACGAGGTGCAGGAGGAGAGACGGAGCACAAGGCACACAATGGGACAGAGTAACCATGCAGAAACATTTTTGGCAGATAACTTGACAGAGGAATTAAAAGCTTCAATCCACCTTGGTATTCATTAAGGTTTTTTGAGATGGACCAGCCCATCCAGCCCATCAAAGATTCCCTTACCTTGGTTAAAAAATAATCCGAGTCCCCCTCCCCCCACTTAAAAAAACAACAAGGAGACAACTGTTCTTTTTCCATTCTAATTTGAGGGGTCTAGAAAATGATATGCATTAATTCTTTGCCAAGGACTGAACTCCTATGCAGATGTTGCTACATGTAATGAACCCACTTGCTTGCCATGGTATATAAGGGATTAAAGTATGAGTCAAAGTGGAAAACTGAAATTATTAATTCCTTACTTAAGCTCTTCAGGTAATGCTGGTGGGGGTTCTTGGCTGAAGGCTATTGAGTTGGAGATGATGATGCTGTGAGAAGCGATTCCACCAATGATGAAGTCTCCATTCTGATGATACTGGTGGAGTGGAGGTTGTGGATCAGGGACATTGCATTTAACAATGTGAGTCTTGGATATTACATGAGGAAGTAGCATCAACATCAAGACCAACAATGCCACCATCTTTGCTATAAACATTGCCTTAACACTGAAAACAACTATTTCTAAAGATGGCAGTATCACTGAGAAAAAACATTGGCAATTTAGTCTCCCTATATGTATAAAATACAGAGTGCAAGAAAATGTTTTTAAAAAATAAAAACCCTGATCATGCTGGCAGATCCTTGTCTATTCACATTCTCTAATTCTAGCTGTGATCGCTAGAGATTGCCAGCCTTCTTGAGCATCCTCCATATGTTTTGAATTTCAATTTCCAGCATTCACCACTGGTTGGCTCTATTGCAGTTGTAGTCCAAAACAGTTGGAGGACATCATTTGGGGGAAGATTTGTGTATATTATCTTTTACAGACTATCTCATTAGCTTTGATGGTGTCCACATTCATGGGGGGATAGAGAAATTGGAGAATTAATATACTTATGATAATTAAAGGAAAGATGTTCACCAGCTGAAATCTATCAATTCTCTGAGGAATTGTGAAACTGAATTTGTTTGTCTATCTTAAAAGAAGTTATAATTTTCACTTAGTTAGGTGAAAGTTGGGCATTTGAGCTTACAGTAATGAAAAACAGAGAAACAATGATAGAAATTCATTTTCATGGGACCTTTTCACATCATTCAGAGGAGAGTCAAATTTCTGAATGTTTTCAGGATAGGAAGCCTGACTTTTGTTAACTTTGTGAACTGGTCAATTGATATTGCACACACTTCTTCTGTACTTAAAGGGGGGAAGGAACCTTTGCCAACACAGCCAAGAAAGATGGGTAACAGGTTATATTTATTAAAACTAATGAGGTCCCAGCAGTGAGGTGGATTAATGGGAGGATTTCAACTTTCCCAGTTCCCAAGCCAGCTGCCTGCCACATGCTGCATATCATGATAAATCTAGGTTGTTGGTAATCAGCTTTTTCTCTACTATTTAATGTTTCTCATTACAAGAGTTAATCTAAAGCAGTCAAAAAATTTAGTTCTCCACAGTGGTCTTTCGGGTATTGTTTAAATATACTCCAGTCGTTACTCAATATTTGTTTCGCTTGGTCCCTTATCTGTCCTGTCAGTTTATCCATGGAAGCTGGCATAGTTTAGGTTGGTGTAACTTCTACTGGTAGAGGTAATCACTACTCCCAGTTTTGTTCAGGACTCTGCGCAGGCGCTACTATTGACATAGCAGATGAGTGTGAGCCCTAGCTTCGAGGTTTTTATGATCAAACAGTATATAAATTCCATGCAATAAATAAATAAATACATTGGATGAGGGCATTATATGTCTGACTTATCCAAAAATGCATTTAACATGAACTTCTATGAATCCAAATGTTTAAAAAGTCTGTGGAATTTATGGAATTCATGAAGAATTTGGAAAAGAGTCTTGAGGAAAGTGAGTTGGCATATATTCATAATGCTGTTTCTTACAGCAACACATGATAATACATTATATAAATGCAACAAACACCACTGTATCATAGGCAATAACCAAAACACAGACAAGTACGTTCTTTAAGACTTTCTTCTTATTAGCAGGCCCCTGTCATTCAGCTCAGGCCTCAACAAAATAATGTAACATTTTGGAGAAAAGATACAGCCCAGCAGCCCAGAACTAGAGGTTAAGATAGAAAAGATCTCCACTGCTACCATGTATTTCCCTTTAGTGCTCAAGTAAGTTGGAACAAAAGATAACCAAACACTACAGAAGACCAGCATACTGAAAGTGATAAACTTGGCTTCATTGAAACTGTCAGGTAACTTCCTGGCAAAGAAAGCTACAGTGAAACTAACAATAGCCAGGAAGCCCATGTAGCCAAGAACACAGTAAAACATAGTCACAGAGTTCTCATTACATTCGAGTATAATTTCATCAGACACAGAGTGCATGTCAACATCTGGGAATGGAGGATTGGTTGCCAGCCACACAAGGCAGGTGCCTGCTTGAATGACAGAACAGGAGATGACAATGGAGTAGGCAAGGCTTTTCCCAATCCATTTCTTCACCCTAGATCCTGGCTTAGTGGCCATGAAAGCCAGGACAACTGTGATGGTTTTTGCCAGCACACAAGAAACAGCCAAAGAGAAGATGGTGCCAAAAGCAGTTTGCCAGAGGAGACATGTCTTTTTTTTTTCTAAGTTACAAAAGAAAACAAGGTAGCGAAGAGAAAAACAAACCACCTCCAACAATACAAATACAAATTCAAAATAAGGAAAAAAAACAAAAATACACCACAAACATTTAAAAAGATTTAAAAACAAATCCATTATTCTCAACTCCTCAACTGTCATTACCTTCTTTCTTTGAGACATGTCACTTTCCAAGGTTTGCCAATGGATGGCAATGCACAAATGAAGCAGAATAGGAGGGCGATGAGGAGAATGTAGGTGAGGTCCTGGTTGTTGGCTTTGACAATAGGGGTGCCACGGTGCTTCATAAAGGTCACTAGGACAAGAGCTGTGATCAAACACAATGAAAGAGACAAACAGGCTAAAGTGAGTCCCAAAGGTTCTTCAAATGTCAGGTAGCTTACATTCTTGGAAATACACAAATCTCTGTTTTTGTTTGGATAATTTTCATCTGTGCATTCATAACAATCACTCAAATCTGAAAAAAAAATAGTTATTTCCATTTCAGATAAGTTATACACATCTCACCAAAGATGATAGACAGATGATTGATAGATGACAGATGATGATAGATGATAGATGATAGATGATAGATGATAGATGATAGATGATAGATGATAGATGATAGATGATAGATGATAGATGATAGATGATAGATGATAGATGATAGATATAGAGGCCAATTTTTTTCAAGATAGAAGTTCATAATGAATTTATTATTTATACCTGACACATACATTTAAAAGAATTGAGGTAGCTTACAGCCAGAAGAATAAATTGTTTGTGTGTGTAAAAAAGATATAGCGAGTAGAAATCATCGTTCTGAGAGCAGGAAGGTTCAATCCTGTGGTGTTCTGCTTCACAAGGGCTCTGAGAAAGCAACATGAGATGGGGAAAACTCTTTGAATGACGTGTAAATGAATTTGCTTTTATGCTTACAAGTATCCCCATCATCAGGAATGTGGCCTTATCAGGGCTCTTCTTCACAAGGAAGCTTATAAACATGTTCCGGCAAATGCACTGACAAGGCTCCTTCATATTTTTCTTTTGATCGCACAGAGGCCAGGAATGGAGGTGTGACCCAGCTCCTGCCCACCTAGCAGTTCGAAAGCACCCTTAAGTGCAAGTAGATAAATAGGTACCGCTTTATAGCGGGAAGGTAAACGGCGTTTCCGTGCGCTGCACTGGTGCTGGCTCGCCAGAGCAGCTTCATCACGCTGGCCACGTGACCCGGAAGTGTCTTCGGACAGCGCTGGCTCCCGGCCTCTTAAGCGAGATGAGCACGCAACCCCAGAGTCGGTCACGACTGGCCTGTACGGGCAGGGGTACCTTTACCTTTACCTTTATCTCCATATACAAGTTTGTCTTTATGTATCCCAGCTGAACACTGAATGATGGCTTTTTGAATATGAGTAGTATAAGGAGGGGCACATGATTCCCCAGAGTAATACGAATTATTTATTCTTCTTCAGGTTCACATCCAGCCCAAACAGAAGAAAACAAGAATAAGTTTGTATGCTATGTGGGGTTGGACCTAATCTTTGTAAAGTCTATTTCTTACCATCCTTATCTGAAATCTTCCCTTCTGGACATGGGATGCAATCATAGCAGCAAAATGGCTCCCCCTCCTTCACTTTCTTGCTGGAACCAGGATGGCAACTCTCAGTACACACAGAAACAGGTTGTGTCTAGTCATAAAAAAAGAAAGAAGACTTTTACTGGGGCTGCAGATCTCCATGGGATTCACTATTCCATGGTTTCATCCTATAATACCAGGGTCAACAAACTTTTTCAGGAGGGGGCTGGTCCCCTGTCCCTCAGACCTTGTGGGGGGCTGGACCCACCACCTCCCGAAAGCACCCCTCTCCCGAAAGGCCCCCCCCGCCTATGTCACTCACGCCCCAGCCGCCAATGCTTCCTCGTCTTCACCAGCTTCGGCATCCTCTGTGTCGGCGGGGCACAGAGCCCATGCCACTTGCCTGGGCAGCGGAGGCAGGCTCCATGCTGCTGCCACTTCCTTCCCGCTCAGCCGCTTCCTCCTACTCAGCCGCCTCAGCGGGAAGGAAGAGATGGCACCCTGATGCCGCTGGCCAGGGCAGCCTCCACGCTGCCACCGATTCATCCTGCTCGGCCGCCTCAGTGGGAAGGAAGGGGCAGTGCCCAGAGGCATCCATGGCTTTTGATTAGCTGCAGGAGTTTCCTGCAGCCAATCAGAAGCCATGCCGTGTCATGGAAGTCATTCTCCATGTGGAGAGGCTTCTGCCCCTTCTTAGCGCGAGGACTGACCGAGCGGGCGGCAGGGTCCGCAAGGTTCGTGGGCTGGATTAACGAGCCGGGTGGGCCGTATCCGACCTGTGGGCCTTAGTTTGACAACCTCTGTATAATACTGTGCTACTCTTGGGATATACCAGCTGAGGCCCATCATGTATTCAAAATAGATAATCATTTTCAAGTCGTCAGTTGATATATGTTTCCAAATGACACCAATGATGAGGTCTCCATTCTGATAGTATCTGTGAACAGGCTGAGGTGGGTGCTGGACCCTGCACATACGAATGTGAGTTTCAGATGTTATATGGGGAAGCAGTACCAGCAGCAAAACCACTAATGCCATTATGCTAAGCAGAAATGCTCGTTATTCTACTATATTTGTAGGTTCTTCCCTTTTTATCTATGTTTTCTAAGAAACCTGAAATCAAGATCCCTGAATACAAATATCAGTAATCATACTAATGTTCCTGTTTCTAGTGCCTAAACCTTTCTCTGAATGCAAGAAGGTATATTTATGACATCCTTCACATACAATATGATTTCTTGATTTTAATTTTAACTTCAATGCCTTAGGGCTTTTTTTTTTTTTTTTTACAAGCAGCAGAATTGATTACACTCTTTATGATAATTAATGGGTGAAGTAATTGCCAAGCCAAAGTCAGGGAATTGTGGATTTGAAGAAGAAAATAATTCTTGTGTGTTAGCAGAAGTTTTGAACTTATTTGAACAGAAATAATCATGGTGGGCTTGGACTGGCCTATGGCAAGGAAAGAACTCGGGAAATACAAGTCTTTGGTGTGGGACTAGATAGAAGATTCGTGTTTTTTAAACTAGGTATTGATTGATTTTATAAATGGAAAGATTGAAAATAAGAGTGTTTCAACTCCTTGAATGAGAGGGAGTCATGGCAAACTCTCATTCACAAATGCAAACATATTGCTCACAATTATGATTTATGGGCATCCTGTAGCAGCAGCACTAAACTAGAGGGCTTAGAAGATGTTCTACAAGTATCTTCTTTAGAGTGGGAGACATGGAAAATGAGCAGAGAGAAAATATCTAAGCCCCTTCTCCAGATGGTTGTCAGTCCCTCCACTCAGACTGTTAGTGTGTGGCTGGTGCAGCTATGTTTCTTAGCACCATTGCAACTGATGCTGGTCACAATAATGAAAGTAGTTTTTGAAAATAATCCACCCATTTAATAGCTTTTAAGTGTTCATGCAAAATTAATAAATTAATAAATTAGGGTAAATCAGGCTTCCTCAACCTCGGCCCTCCAGATGTTTTTGGCCTACAACTCCCATGATCCCTAGCTAGCAGGACCAGTGGTCAGGGATGATGGGAATTGTAGTCTCAAAACATCTGGAGGGCCAAAGTTGAGGAAGCCTGGGGTAAATGAAAAGGGCCCACGAGCATTGTCATTGCCTGTTCCAGATAAATACATGGAAAGGAGGAATCAAACGTACAGGAAATACTTTATGTAGAGAATGTTGAAATTGTATCAGCTTCTATCACTGAGGTTCATTCATAGGAGAGATTCATTGGACCTATTGCTGAAATGCTTTGATTCAAAAAGTGAATTCTATCGTATATGAGAATGCCTCTGAGAGTTTCCTTCTAAGATAACTACCATCAGATTTTTAGAACTTAAAAACAATTAATGTGTCTCAAAAAGATCCACTGAAGGGACAGGGACTCATTTTTTCAGTTCATTCTTCTTATGAACTGTCACATATTGCTTAGTTCCAGCCACAAGACAATAATGTAGGTAAAGGTAACATTTTGGAGAAAAGATGCAACACAGCAAGCCAGCCCTGGTAGGCCTGGAAAAAATCTTCACAGCAACCATCAATCTTTGCCTGGAGCTTAGATAGGTTGGAACAAAGGATAACCACACACAGCAGAAGACCAACATGCTGAAAGTGATCAACTTATCTTGAACTTACTGACTGGTAATTTCCTGGCAAGGAGTCACAGAGAACTGGCAATGGCCAGTAAAGCAGACCCCTCATTACATTGTAATACAATTTCTTCAGCAACTGACTTAATATCAGCATCTGGAATTTGGGGGAGGGTGGGTTGAGTAGAGAAGCAGATTCCCAAAGGTTATTCATAAAATAAGAATGTTATGGTAAATCTTTGGGAATACACACATTCTGTTTCCAGTTTGGATAATCTTTACTGGTGCATTTATAATAGTCATTCGTGTCTGAAAGAAGAAAAGATGTAATCAGACCCAAAAGTATGCCACAAATCTCTCAAAACAAACAGTAGTTGCTCTTCTCAGAGTTTTATGTATATTTTTCTTCATTGCCCTATTCTTTGCTGATCCTGTAAAATATGTAATGAAAAATGATATACTTATGAGCAGGGTATGAAGACTGGTAATGCCTCTGAAGTTTATTATATATGAGAAAAATACATTTCTTTTAACAACAACAACAAAAATAGTAACAGTATATAAATAGTAACAATCACTTAACAAATAAACATTTTAAAATAGCAAAGAAAAGAGAACACAAACAGAGCAGACCAAAGACACATCTAAGTCCGTATACTTTTTGGATGTCCAATCAGATACCTATATGAAGCTCATGAACAGGATTTGAACAAAATAACTGTTTCCTGCTCTTGTTCCCCCGCCACTGATATATAGAGGGATATCAGCTTAGGCAGTAGAAATAATGAAATAATGAATGGCATTCAGTTAAGTTTTATTCAAAGTATCGGTAGATCTATTGGAATTAACGGACCTGACATCACCAAGATAATTAATTTCAACATGCCTACTGTGAGTACAACTTCATTACATATCATCTAAAGCTGTACCTTGAAAGTTGAACGGAATCCGTTCCAGAATTCTGTTTGACTTCCAAAACATTAGTAAAGCAAAGCGTGGCTCCTCATTGGCTGCAGCATGCTCCCGCAGCCAGTTGGAAACCATGGAAGCCCCATTGGACGTTCAACCTCCAAAAATAGTTCGCAAACCAGAACACACGCTTCCAGGTTTGCGGTGTTCCAGAGCCAATTTTTTTGAGAACTAAGCTGTTCAAAAACCAAGGTAAGACTGTAACTTCGTCCTCCATGAAAATAATAAAAATAAAAATAAATGAAAATTGGTATTCCTTATACAGTGGTACCTCGGGTTAAGTACTTAATTTGTTCTGGAGATCCGTTCTTAACCTCAAACTGTTCTTAACCTGAAGCACCACTTCAGCTAATGGGGCCTCCTGCTGCTGCCACACCACCGGAGCACGATTTCTGTTCTCATCCTGAAGCAAAGTTCTTAATCTAAAACACTATTTGTGGGTTAGCGGAGTCTGTAACCTGAAGCATATGTAACTTGAAGCGAATGTAACCTGAGGTACCACTGTACTGGTTTATTCTGTGTGTGTGTCTGTGTGTGTGTGTGTGTGCGGGCGGGCGGGCACGCATCTGCCTGGACAACACAAAAGAGGAAAGTGATTTGCAGTTCATATGATGTAATTTAGCTGTGTGAATTCAACTCATGCCTTCAGTGTTGCCCCCCCCTCCAATTCTGTAAGAATTGACCGTGCTTACCACTAACTTTGGCACTGCTTTTCATTAACTCTAGTTGGTCTCTCTGCCATACCAGTTCCAATGGGCACCAACTTCTAGCTACTGACTGTGTCCTGAAGCAGGCATAGGCACCATCTGGTACTCAAAATCCCATCAACCTCTGTCTGCCTAGTCTGTTGTCAGTTATGATGGGGTTGGGGGGGGTCTAGCAACTTCTGGAGTATTCACTTTGGGTACCCCTCTTCTGCAAAAGACATTCCTATGATCAAACACCCCCTTTTCTTCGGCTCTGGACAAATTTCTTGTTTGTCACAGCCAATTCAGGTGCCCCTTGAGCTCCTTAACTGATTGAAAGAAATAAAAAGAAAAAGTTAATTTCAGACATGAAAAACATGTCCTCAGCAATTCCACATGGAATGCTCCTTGTTGAATTGGTGACTACTTCCTTTTTAATTATCCAAAGTACTCTAATTAACGAGGTACTTTCCAACACTACAGTGCAGTTTACTGTGGACTCCCGCAAAACTAATAGCACAGTTTTGAATAATGATATAAATCAGCCCTCCAAAAATCTAGGACAGGTTTAGGAATTAAGACTATTAGACAATAATGTGTCAGTCTGATTTCTGACCCTATATATTTCCATCCTGAGCTTTTTGAGATAAAAATAAGAAATCTGCATCTGGAGAAAACATTTCTGCCCACAATGCTGTTATTGTTCCTCTTGCTTCTGGTACTGCTTCCTCACATGGTAAGCAAAGCGCACATCATTAAGTGCATGGTTGATGATCCACACCCTCCGCTTCATGAGTACCACCAGTCAGGAGACCTAATCATTGGAGCTATCGCTTCCCACACTTTCATCATCTCCAGTGCAATCAGCTTCATTGAAAAACCCCCATCACCTTTGCCTGAAGAGCTTGCGTAAGGGCTTAACTATAATATTTTAAAGCTATTATCCGTTATCAGTCTTAATTTTCATTCCATGAATTATTTGTTTTGAAAGGTTATAAACTATCCAAAGAAACAACTGTTGTTTTTTTTAAAAAAAGAGGGAAAGCTATGCCCAGTCATTTGTATGAAATATCACATCCTGAAGATCTTAAATTATACCATTCTGGAACACCCTGCTCTGAATTGCTACTTTACTGATAAAGAATAGGAAAGCATATGTTTTGATGAACAATGGTAATATTTGGTTGTTGTTGTTTTAAACTTTGTATGGGCTACCGAAAGGTAAGGTTACCTCAAGAAAGTTGTTATATGAATATGAATAATGAGATAAGATATAGAATACATTATTTTTATAAC